TGTCAAACTGAGTCAAGCTTTGCAGAGCCTCAGGGCTGATGCCCCTCCTCGGGGCCCCCGAAATGGGGATGAAGTGCTGCCCGGCTCCCAGTGACCTCCTCGGGGTGTCCCTGGACAGTGAGTGTGGATGGGCCGAGCAGAAGCCCCCTGTGCTAGACAAGTGTGCACTGCTATCAAGTTGCAGAACCAGCTTCATTGCTGGGGGCTGGGGGCTGGAGAGGGGACTTTTACCAACTTCTGCTGGGCTCTGGGCACAGAGGGAGTCTACAGAAACGCCATGTTTCCAGAGGCTGGAGACCTCTGTGATCAGATTAACTCCTTTGGGGAAAGGCCAGATGTGAGCGGGAGAAAGGCTGGGCCTGCAGTGCTGGGCTGACTACCAGTAAGGAGGGTCCCAAGCCCCAGGGGCGCCCCAGAAGCCCATGGGTAGTAAACCGTGCCAACCCGTGCTGCACTCCCAGGCCCACGAATGCACTCGGGCCAGAGGGTCCCTTTGCTTGGCCAGGCCTCGTGCCCCATGCCAACTGGTGGTCTGTGTGCAAGGAGCTGTGGGGTCAGAGCTGCCCCAGCCACCCCACCCAGGCCCTCAGGTCCTAGGGAGCCCCCTGCTTCGGACCGTGTGTGCAGGAGGTGGGAACCGGCAAGGTGTACAGACCTTGACGGACCTGGCCAGGTTCTGGCCCCACCCCCTCCCATTCCTCTGCGCTAGCGGAACAGCTTTGAGACATGCAGCCTCAGGCTCTATTGGATTCCAGATCAAGTTGAGCTCACCACCCCCACCCCCCACTAGTCCTCCAGCACAGCCCAGAGAATAAAAGCTCCTCTCCTCTAGTTTATGAATGGGCTTTCCTCGGAGACCGGGAACTGCCCCAGGGGGGATCTAGACCGCCAGCCTTGCCCCACCCCCAACACCTGGACCACTGAGTCAGGTCAAGATGAGGGTTTTGCTTTCTGGGCACATTCTCCTGCCCACACTTGGTGAAAACGTCTCCCAGATTTGAGCAACTGGAGGCTGGGGACCACCTGGGTCCCTCCGGCCGAGCTGATGTGGTTCCCACTAGACGGAGCGGGAAGCTAAGGTTGTCTCCAGGACTGGATGCCCAGCAGGGGACTCGATGGGGGCTGAATGCAGAGGCCGTCCAGCCTGGAGCGAGAAGCTAGCCCCCACCTGAAAAGCCATTTCTTCCCCATCCGGGCCTCCAAAATGACCCAAAGTGGGTGCTTCCCAGCATCACGCTGCAGCTCCACGCTGGGGCCACAGGAGTCCCCCTGGCTCTGGGGTCAACATTTCAGGCCGCCTTTTGACCTCCTCCCACCCCAAGACTGGGGAGCCTTGCTGTGACCCAGATGACTTTGAAAGGACAAGACACAGGTCCCAGTTGCTGGCCCAGCGAGCTCAGAAGCCTGGCGAGGCTGTTCCCTGCAATGCTCCCTCGGAGTCTGGACCTCCCAGCACCAACACCGGTTCCGGGATGCAGAGTGGTTCGCTGGGACGGGTGGGGACAGTCCCAAGCAAGACCTCCCAGGAACCTCCCAGGAACGTCATATCGATGATTCTGACCAAACCCCAGGTGTTCGGAAATCAACTTGTCTCGAGTGCGGGAAGTCGGTCCTATTTTGCTGCGGGGCAGCCGCGGGAGGGCTGGGCGTCGGCAAGCAGGGGCGCGTGCTGTGGCCGCCCGACTGCCCCAGGGGGATCCTTCTGCCCAGTTTTGTGTCTCGGAGTCCCCACCAGGTGCCAGGCTCTCCCGAGAAGGTGTGCGGCGTGTCCTGGGGGCTGCGGCCAAGTGCACTTTGAGGGCCCAATCAGGAGTTTTTTGTTTTGCTTCGTTTTGAGATTGACACTGTGACCCTGAAGCCCCCTGACCTCCCTCTTTTGAGCACAAGAGGGAGTTGGCTCCCGCGTCCGGCCCAACTGGGCTCTCCAAGAAGGTTCAGGAAGCCCCCAACGACTCCTTCCCGCCGCCAGGCATTAGCAGGCGGGCGAAGCCGCAGGGCTCCGGCAACCGCCGGCAGGTTCGGCCCACGGGGGCAGTAAACGGAATCCGTCTCCCACGCCTTCCCTCTGGATCGCGGAACCTTTAAAACTCCGCCAACGAATCCCGCTGTCGGGTTTGCGCTGCGTGTGCTCCTGAGCCACCCACCGACCCAGGCGGCTTCCTCCTCCCCCAGCCCACCCTCCTTCCCTCCGCAGGATTTTGGGTGCTGGGCGGCCCCGCCCGAGAGCTGGAGCCTGGTGCGTT